TAGTAAATTATATTAGAATTCTCATACATTCGTTCATCCGCAAGCATGTATACATTTGAGAAAATTTAAGCACAAGTTGACTCATGCGCGTGATGTTCGAGGTTGATGCGTGCAAATCATATCTTATCCTTAAAGCAAGTTGTACATTTGGGGTTATGTGCTGAGCAAGGAGATATCTGTGCAATTTTAACTGTATTTTAGTTTCTTCATAACTATCTGCAATTTTTTTAGTGCATTTTTCATTTTGTACCATGGGTTTCGCTTGCCCCTTACTACTTGGATGGTACGGTGCAACCAATGCTTGTCTAATAAGGTTTTTTTTTAATCTTAGAACTCAGCTGACGTAAAACAAGTTCCGTTATCGGATACGGCGACATCTGGGATACCATGAGTGGCAAATAAACCACGTAATACATCTATAGTCACAACACTAGAGGTATTTGGAACGATTTTAACCTCCAACCACATCGAGTACGAGTCTATGATAATCAGACACATTTTGCTTTTACATGGACCGGCAAAATAAGGGTGTATTCTTGTCCATAAAGCTCTGGCATACTCCCACGGACGGATTGGAGCCTGTTTTGGCATGTTTCTAGGCTCCTAGAACTCGCTGCATGTATTTACTAGGTGTTCGATTTGTTTGTCGAGATTTGGCCACCAAACATATTAGCGTGCCAGTGACTGCATTTTTGCGATTCCGGGGTGTGCTGAGTATACCAAATTCAGTATTGTTTTCCTCTCTTCAAGTGGAACTATTACCCTTGTACCCCAGAACAGGCAGTCTTGATATTAGCCAATTTCGTTTTTCCGTAGTAGATAAGGAGTATATTCGTCTGAAAATTTAATTTTCTCATCAGACCAACCTTTGCAAGCCCACTGCAAAACTTTAGATAACACTGATCAAAACGTCATCTGAGCTTGGTGGTTCTGGCGCATGTACCTTTTGTGGCAATCTGCTAAGAGCATCGGCATTCTGAACTTTTGAACCTGGTACGTAACATAATTCGTAATCATAAGCAGATAACAAAAGAGCCCATCTAAGCATTGTGGGTGACAGTATCTCTGGAACACCTTTTTTCGGTTTAAAAATACCCAACAATGGTTTATGGTCCGTTCTTATGCCTATTTTTCTACCATATACATATTCATGGAATTTTTTATTGCCCGATATTATGGCCAGTGCTTCTTTGTCGATTTGGGAGAAATTTCGATCAGTAGATGATAGAATACGGCTATGGTACGCCACTGGATATTCACGTCCCTCATCATCACGTTGACGAAGCACACAACCTACGTCGTGAAGGCTGGCATCAAATGTCAAAAATAAATTTTTCTGTTTACTGTAATGGCCCAACTCAGGTTATTTCCTGGGTTAGGGCCAAAAATATCATAAAAATTTAAAAGTCCAAGAAAACCTTGCATCTCGGTTTTATTGGTTGGCACAGGAGCATTAGTTATGGCCGCGATTTTGTCTAAGTCGGGCATAAACTGTCTTTACTAATTTGGAAACCAAGAAACTCTATAGTTTTTGTTCGAAAAACGCACTTTTCTTTACGCAAATGCAGGGTCTTTCTGGAATCGCAATAATACCGCGCGCCCTTTTGAATCTAAGTTTATTTCTGAGCTACCGACTGTTAAAATGTCATCGTAATAAAATAGTACACCAGGAATGCCCGTTAATCTAGTTTCTATAAATTTTTTAAAAATTTGTGGAGCCACTGATATACCGAACTGTAAACTATTGCATTTTTTAAAAGCCCTTTATGCGTAATTATTGTTTGTGCTTCAGCAGCTTCGCGGTTGATACTTAACTACAGATAAGCTTGCACCATGTTCAGTTTTGCAAAAACTTTACCGCCCGCAAGTGTGGATAAGATACCCTGTACCGATGGCACTAAATAAGGTTCCGAATTTAACACTAAATTCAATGTGGATTTGTAGTCAACCACAAACCTAACCTCCCCGTTTTCTTTGTAAAAAGTCACAATTGGGGTGGACCATTTTGGGTGCGTTATCGGCTCTAAAACCCATTTCGCAATAAGCCTGTCCAGTTCAACTTTGATTTTGTCTTTTAGCGTAAATGGAACTTTACGAGCTTTACGCATAACCGACTTTACATTTTTGTCCAACGAAAAACTTACTGGGGGACCCCAGTAACATCTCAAATCTGTATTAAATACATCTGGATATTCTTCTGAATAATTAATCACTGATAAAAATTTGACTTACCCTAGCTATAGTTAAACCTAAACTATCAAACCAGTTTCTGCTGATTGCCTTCCGTGACTATGAGAGGAAGTGTTGCTGATCTTTGACCTCTTTTTACCTCCACTTGACACTTACCCAGTGAGAGTATTACGGTGTTTTGATAGTCTCGTAAAATAACACTGGATTTATCTATTTTAGGTCTATTTTCACTAAAGATTTTATGGTAGGTTGATTTGCTTATCACTGAATAACTCGCGCCCGAGTCAACCTCCATTTTCACTTTTTGGTCATTGAGTAGCACATCTACTAAATATTTACCGGTAATGCTATCAGCCGTCACGTTATTTAACGAGAATTAGTAATCATCATCATCCAGCCGAATTTTCACATCCATTGTTGGATATAGGCCTCCTCCAAACGTCTCCAGTTCTCTCTATCTCTAGCTGCTGCAATCCAGTTTGTTTCTATTCTCCTTAGGTCGTCGGTCCATCGGGTGGGTGGTCTGCCTCGACTTCGCTTGTCGGCTCTTGGTCTCCACTCCAATAATCTCTTCGTCCATCTTCCGTCTTCCATTCTAGCAACATGTCCAGCCCACCTCCACTTTTGTTTATTGATTCGCAGTATAATATCGTCTACGCCAGTTCGTCGGCGTATCTCCTCATTTCTTACGCGATCTTTCAAGGTCAGGCCCAGCATTGATCTCTCCATTCGCCTTTGTGTTACCCTCAGTTTTTCGGCAGTAGCTTTCGTTAAAGTTAAGGTCTCTGCTCCGTAGGTCAAGACTGGTAAGATGCATTGGTTAATGCCTTCCTTTTCAGGTGAATTGGGATATTTGTTTTTAAAAATGTCTCTCATCCGTCCATATGCCGCCCATCCCAACATGATTCGTCTATTTAGCTCGCAGGTTTGGTTGTCTCTGGTTATTCTAATTTCATGACCAAGTATGTGTATTTATCGATTAATTCTACCTTGTTGTTATTGATCTGTATCTCTTCGCTGGGAACCATATTGGTCATCATTTTGGTTTTCTCGAAATTTATCTCCAGCCCAGTTTCTTGTAGTATGTCATTCAGTTCTTGGAGCATGTCTTTGATCTCTCCCAGATTATCTGACAGAAGCACGATATCGTCCGCAAAAAGTAGATGGTTTAATCTTTCTCCATCGATGGATATTCCTTTCTGTTGCCATGTTAGTTTTTAAATGCATACTCAAGAACGGTAATGAACAGCTTTGGTGACATGGTATCACTTGCCTGACTCCCTTTTTATCTTTATTTTATTAGTTGCAGAATATAGACTTATGGTTGTTGTGGCATTTTCATATATATTTTTAATTATATTACAATATCTGTGGTCGATCCTGCAATCTTGTAGTGCTCTTAAGATGGACGGTAGTTCCACTGTATCAAACGCCTTTTTTAAAGTCTACAAATATCAATGCCAAGGGACGGTTATATTCGTTAGTTTTTTTCTATTAGGGTTTTTAGGCACTGCAGGTGATCGTTTGTGCCGTAATTAGGGCGGAAACCAGCTTGTTCCCGAGGTTGGTAAAAATCCAGCTTTGTCTCTAATCTATTCGTTTATTATTCGGGTGTATAATTTTATAAAGATGGTTAAGGAGACTGATTGGTGCCTCTGCTATATCTCCCTTTTTGTGTAAGAGTACAGTTATTGAATTATTCCACTTTGTTGGGATATTTTGATTCATAGGCATAGATTAAAGAGCTTTTGAATTTTGGCTATCAGTACTGAGCCTCCTATCTTATCGCTTCCGTGACGACACCGTCCTCCCCGGAGCTTTGTTATTCTTCATCTTTTTTAAGGCTTGTAAATTTCGCTCAAGGAGATTTCTGGAATATCTTTGGAACCCTGATTTTGAACCTTCCTCTGTGATATTCGACTATATCTAGAGTCGATTGGTTGCTATATAATGTCTCATAGAATGGATTCCACAATTTGTAACAAATGTTCTCTGTTTGATGTGATGTTGCCATTTCTATCCTCGAGTTTGGACTATTTGTTTATTTCCATTTGTGAGTTTGCGTCTCATTATTTTCATACTCTTATTTTCCTCAATGGATTTTGATGATTTTTCTCATCTTGTTTATTTTCTTAGTGTCTTTTCTGATTTCTCTTGATAACATCCTTGTTTTATTCTATTTATATTACGTCGGATACTAAGAGTTTCCGTCGTCGCTTCTCAGTATTCTTGTTTGTTCCATTTTTTTCTGTGGTTTTCCAGACTAATTTTTTTTCTTCTTCACGCTTTTGGGCAGCATTTCTTGTTGAGCCTCTGTAATTGCTCTACTATTATGTTCATTAGAGGTTAATATCATTTGTTGATGAATTTTACTTGAAGGAAATTTTACCGATTATCAGTAGTCAACTACTTTGATAAAAAACAAACTCTGAGGATTTCCCAAAAAACCGGTGGTATTGGACGTGGATTCCACGGTAGGTCTGGATGTACTATTCGTTTGTGATTTTGTAAAATATACAGGGTGTTCCATTAAAAAAAGCTTGTTCCTCACTCCGTCAATATAGGTGGCCCTGTATATTTGAAAATATTTATAGAGTATGATCCTATCTGTCGTATCTCTTACGACAAATATGAGTAATTGGACTTCTTTATTTATATTTACTTTGGTTTATATTTATATTCGACTTTTGGGAACATTTTGGAAAATTATACTACGAAGTTCGTCATAAAAATCGGGAACAAAATATATGTTCCTATCGATAGATGTCAAATAAATAAATTTAACTGTTTATAAAAAAAAAACAAATTAGTACATGTTAAAAATTATATATTATTAAAATAATATTTTAATAACAAACACATTTGTCATCAATACATACACCTCCAGTAATTGAAGAGCTTATGCTCTGACATATCTCTGAACATATATCGGAATCACAGGGTGCTCCAACGTTTCCAAGAGCCAGGTCCTTAAAGACAGGTACTCCTGAAAGAAAAATCATTGTAGGTAAATATTTAGCAGTCCTTTTAAATAAACAATTTAAATGATTTTTTAATATAAATATGTGAACAATATTGATTATGACAAAAGTCGTAATGGATTGATTCAATCTAAGAAAACAGATTAGAGGCCGTGTAAGTATTACCAAGGAATATAGACGCTTATAGAAGAATCTTTCAGTGTTATTTTTGAAAGTTGGCAAAAGATGATCGCACGTTATGAAAAGAATGAGAGGGTGGATCGAGATTTTAGTACTTACCAGTAGGAAGCGGTCATGTCGGCGCTATTATTACTTTTAAAATATGAAAGAGTGGGGCAACAAATGCAACAGATATTTTTATGTAGATGCCGCGTGGCGGTAGAATAGGATTAAATTTTTGCGTTTTATAACATTTTTTAAAGAAAATAATATTTTAACTTTTAATAAATGGATCCTATTAGAAAAAATATTATGATTCAAATGTTTAATTTAAATATGTACAAATCTACAAATAATATACTTAAAACTCTCTTCTTATTAACTATAAATAAAATTAATTCAATCAATAAAGTCATCAATCACCGGAATTAAATATTTCTAAATTTATTATTATTATTATTTATTATTTACAATAGATTTGAGCAGGGGTTGCAAAACCCATATGCCCATGTGACTACAATGTTATATAGTGTACAATTAAATTGTTACATTACAGTAGTTACATATTAAGCACTAACTAACTAAATGAATATATAATAACATAGGTAATAGCAAGTGTTTAGTACAAATTAAATGTTCAACTATGAAACAAAAGGTCATCCAGTTTATTTTTGAAAATATTGACAGATGGAGCATCTATGATCTCAGCCGGAAGGCTATTCCATATCGAGAACATTCGATTACAGAGAAAAAATTGTCTGGTTGTTGTTAAAAAAGTTTCCTTTTTAAACTTAAGTTTGTGGCCACGAAGACGATTGTCATTGTCTATTATGAACATATTCCCCAAATTTCCAAAGTTGTATTTTACTATCCGAAACGTAATAATTAAATCGCCTCGAAGTCGACGTTGTTCAAATGTAGTGAGATTGGCCATATTCAGTCTTTCTGTATACGTAGGTCTTGAGCGACCAAAAGACGTCCTGGTGCACTGCCGCTGTACGTTTTCGAGAATATTACGATCGCGCACTAATACTGGACACCAAACAGTTCCGCAATATTCCAGAACTGGACGAATGTACAGTTTATACAGATGAATTGAGCTCATAAATGACATTTTCGCAAACGTTTTATTTAGTAGATATAATTTACTGTTAGCTTTTTTAGAAATATGCAAAATGTGTTCCGACCAACTTAGATTGTTATTAATTATAACGCCTAGATCATTATGCGATTTCACTGTTTTTAACACGCGCCCATTAATAGAGTAAGGAAGACACGGATTATTTTTACCCATGTGAAGAACTACACATTTTTCCACATTAAGAGGCAGCATCCAGGTAGAGCACCATTCCAAAATGCAATCAAGGTCATCTTGCAGTAACTGGAAATTTACGGAGGGATCGGAAAATAGCTTCGTGTCATCTGCATAGAAAGCATTGTTGCATTTAATATGAAATTGTAGATCACTTGAGTATGCTATGAATAAGAGTGGGCCCAAAACTGATCCTTGCGGTACCCCACTTAAAACCGTTCTCTCAACTGAGAAAGAGTCCCCAACTCTAACACAAAATTTTCTATCTGTTAAATACGCGTCGATCCATTTCAGTAGTTGACCACGGATACCAAGGTGTTGACCAATTTATGTAATAGTCTTCGTTTTGGAACTCTATCGAAAGCTTTAGCAAAATCGAGGTATATAATGTCCACCGGGGCTTTTCTGTCTAATGCTCTTGACCATTCATTGACACACCAGAGAAGATTTGTCATTGTAGAACGTCCTTTGACAAAACCATGCTGCTGTTCTGGTATAACCAGTTCATTTTGCAGAAAATCAGAAATTGTCTCGGCAATAATAGTTTCCATTATCTTAGATATTATAGGTGTTAAGCTGATAGGACGATAGTTATTAGGATCCAGTTTGTTCCCTTTTTTAAAGATCGGTGTTACAGATGCGGTTTTCCATATAGGAGGCAAAATATGTGTGGTGAATGATAGGGACATAATCACATATAGTGGATAAGCTAAAGCATCAGAACATTTCTTTAAAAATAAAGAAGATATTAAGTCGAGATCAGGAGACGAATTATTTTTTAGGCTTTGAAGATGATGTTTAACTTTTTCAGGAGTAATGATTATATTTTCAAGAGAAGAAGAAACTCGTGACGAAGTAATATTAGGGAACTGATAATTAGTGGGTTCAACAGAGAAAACCTTGGAGAAAGTACTGGCGAGAAGTTCGGCATTCTCATAGTTATTTTGGGATATTTTGGGATATATCCCCATTATCATTTTCCAGTAAAGGTATAGAAACTTTTGTTGTCAACGAAGATCTAATATACTTGTGCAATTTTTTACAGTTATTACTGATGGCTATACTCTCTTCGTAGGCAACACGAGCTTCATGTAAAGATTTCTTTAAATCTCTGGCAAAGTCTCGATGAATTTGTAAATCCTCTATGCGATTTGTACGTCTATATTTGTTCCACAACTTTCTTTTATACTTGATCAGATATATTAATTCCCCATTAATCCAAGGTTTTATGTTATTTTTGTATATGGTTTTTTTGAGGGTATTTTGGTTTTTGCATAAATTAACAACCTGTAAGAACTTATCCCAGAATACAACTGGATTCCTTATGTCGCCGAAAACATCATTCCAATCAATGTCGGTCAGTTGGCGATTTGCATTTTCAAAATCAATTATTTCATATACCGTTTTATTAACATTAGGATTAGGAGTACAGTACTGTAAGTTAAACTGAATATGAAACGTTATGACTGCATGATCTGAGTTACCTACTGGAGAGCTTATTAAGGGATGTGTTAATAAATGGGGATCATTAGAGAATACCAAGTCCAAAATAGATGGTAAATTATTGATTCTGAAACGAGTCGGCTCCGTTATGAATTGATGTAAATTAGAATTTAGTACAAAATCTGTAAATGCGTTTTTGGAAGTTGTTAAGCCACTAGGTGGATCAGTTATAGGCCACGAAATGTCTCTAAAATTAAAGTCTCCAATAACAATTAAATTCTTTAGCCTAGACAGTTCATCAAGTGATGCGATAAGGGACTCATAATCTGCTAATCTAGAATCACCAGGCCGATAAACGCATACTAGGTGAAAAACAAAAGAGTTTTTATGACATATTTTTAAGCCAAGAAGTTCCATATTAGGGACAGTAATATCAAGAGATGTAACAAAGAAATTATTAGTAATTTCTGAAGACAAGTAGATACAAGTTCCTCCTCCACGCCGATTACGACGATCACACCTATAAAGGGAATAATTATCAATCTTATAAAGGGAGTCAGGATCATTTGGTGTTAACCATGTTTCAGTGATAAGAATTATTTGAGAATTTAGGTTTTGAATGTTGCATAAAAATTCATTAAATTTGGAATTTAAAGTAGCTAGATTAGTATAGAAACAGAGCCAATTATGAAAACCTGAAATATCAGAATTAGTGACGAAAGTTTACAATTTTCGGGACACCTTGTATATATTTTATGGTTAAATTTTCCTCTCCATTCGATTTTCTCTGTTCCAGTTCCACTCGAAGTTCTTTTAGGCATTCTATTTGATTTGGAGTCTTATCGTCGATAATGGAAACGTTTTTTAAAGAGAGGTCTTGTAAAAGTTTCTTTTTGTTCTTCAAAATATGTTTGGCTTCATGTTCATTTTGCATAATGACCTTTGTCATCCTAGGGAAGCGATTGTTTGGTTTTCCAGTCCTGAAAAATGTGACAGGAGTGGAGTTAGACATTACAGTATCTAAAATATTTTTTAATATTCCATCATCGTGACTTTTCTTTGTTTCAATGTCTCCTGTAATTTCGGGTACACCCCTAACAAAAATATTCTTAGCCCGGTTAATGCGATCAACTGCTTCATTTGCTATGGTATCTGTAAATTTTGGAGATGAAGAATGATCCTCAATAGATAACTTGTTTTCGATCTGTAAAAGTCTTTCACTGATATCATTAGCTTTTTGGTCTATTAGATCAATTTTTGATTGAAGATTCTCTTTTCGATCTTTTAAGAGCGTCTTTAAATTAGCAAAGTTTTCGATATGAGAGCAGCAGTTGTTGCAAAGAATTTTAATTCCGCGTAGCTTATGCCTAGTAACGCGATCTTCGGCTCGTAGATCAGTGCAAGCTAAATGTATGTTCTGTTTACATGCTTCACATTGAAGTTGTTTTGATGATTCTCGATCATCGATTGACTTTGAACAGTTAGCGCAGGTCGACATGGTGGGAACAGCAGAGCAGCAGTGGGAGTGAATCGCCGTAAATAGATATAAATAAAATAAAAAAAAGACCTTGCAATCTGTAGATAATCCAAAATACGGGATCTCTGATGCACTTTATGACGAAATATAAACACCACTGGCAATAGAAAATTCTTATGTTTAAACTAATATAAAAATGATCGTTAAACTCAAACAATAACCAACTGTAGTTTGTAATAATTCACAGGGAAACGTAAATGATGCCACACACACTGCTGACGATTTTCTAAATTTAATAATTTCTTTTTCTTTGTTTTTAATATAAAATAACATAAAATGTAAAACACAACACTGTTTTTCTGCAGAATAATAAATAATAAGCGTCTATATTCTTTGGTATTACGCAATCAGATTTATTACAATTATTTACCCTCTCCTCATCCCCCATGTCAGCAAAGTGTCTACGTCGTTCTCATCGAGCCATTCAACATATTAGTGCACTAAATTTTTAATAATGCATATCAGTTCATTACGTAAAAAGTATTCATATGAAACTGCACTGCAACTTTCACTTTGTAAATTCAGGTCTGAATTGGACAATGATAATTTTATAGTAGTAGTATTCCTTGATTTAAAAAGAGCATTTGAAACTATTGATCGTAATATACTTCTCACTAAATTAGAAGGCTATGGTATTTGAGGAAATGTTCTTGAATGGTTTAAAGATTACTTATTGGATAGAAAGCAACAAGTGAGGATTGATGATATTACTTCTTCTGCAATTAGTGTTAATATTGGTGTACCACAAGGTAGTGTTTTAAGACCCCTTTTGTTTATATTGTATTTAAATGATATAAACTTGTTTGTTAAATGTGATTTCTTTAATTTGTATGCAGATGACACCCTACTTGCATGTTTTGATTCAAACTTAGAAAATGCTGTATCTAAAATGAATTCAGCATTGCAGTCTGTTAATAAATATTTTAAGATCAACAAACTAAAGTTAAATCTGTTAAAGACAAAAGCTATGATAATAACAACTCATCCTGATAATGATAATCAACAAATCTTGAAATATTGATATTAATACTATTAATCTTCAAATTGACAATGAGAAAATAGAAATCATCACAATAATTAAGAACCTTGGTTTTCAAATAACTTAACTGTCAACTGCAACTAAAATAACAGTTTTTAATGCAATTATTTAACTTCACTTCGATTTTTGCTCGTCAGTTATTTTTCTCTTCAATTTAAATCAATCGGCCCAGTTGCAAAAATTACAAAATCGTGGAATGAGAATCATTCTTGGTGGAAACAGATATACACCTATAGCAACAATGCTTAGCATGCTGCAGTGGGTTTTAGTTCAACAAAGGGTCGTTTACCTTACAATGGTGTTCATTTATAAAATTCTAAATAATTTGGCCCCTGTTTACTTTTGTGAGTTTATTACATGGAATTGTGATATTCACAATTACCCTACTCGAGGTAAGTGCAATTTACACATTGTGAAAACAAAAAGGACGGCTTCAAGAAACTCTTTGTTGTTTAAGGGTTTTGATCTTTTAATAAGCTTCCTTAAACAGTTAAAATTGTTCATCTTTATAAGTGTTTAAAAACAAATTATTGAACCATATTAAAAGCACCAATGGTTAGGTAGTTGTTTTGTTGTCATGTTTTATGTTATATATTATTGTTTTATATTTTTTAATAAGTATAGATACTATATTTTAAGTGTAATTGTTATTTTTATCTTATATTATGAATGTTATAAATTGATTAATTTTGTATGTATTAGGGCTTTCCCTATTTTTGAATAAATAAACTTCTTCTTCATCATAATATACAACAGCATACTACGTTTTCGATACTTTATAATACAATGGAAATTTGCTCAAGTTACCATGATTCCAAAACCTGGTAAGCCCGCAACGCAAGCAAATTCATATCGCCCTATAAGCCTACTCCCAATAATGTCAAAAATATTAGAAAGTCTACTATTACATAAAATCGAGCAAGTTGTTTCCATAAACAGAATTATACCACAACGCCAATTCGGATTTAGACATGAACACTCAACCATCCAACAATGCCTTCTTCTTCTTAAAGTGCCCTCTCCTCAATGGAGGTTGGCTACTACAATTTTAAACTCTTCTCTATCTTTAGCTGTTGTTATTAGTTGTTCAAAAGTTAGCCCTGTCCATTGTCGGATGTTTCTGAGCCACGATAGTCTTTTCCTTCCTAGGCCTCTCTTTCCTTCGATTTTTCCTTTCACTATAAGTTGGGCATATTGGTACTTATTATTTGACCATTATGTGGCCTAGGTATGATGTTTTTCTAACTTTTGCTGTATTAAAAAGTTCTCTTTCCTTGTCTATTCTATGCAGCACTTCTTCGTTTGAGGTATGCGATGTCCATGAAATTTTAAGTATTCTCCGGTAGATCCACATTTCAAAGGCCTCCAATTTATTTACGATTGATGTTTTAAGGGTTCACGTTTCAACTGCATATAGAAGAGTATATGGACTGCTACAGGACAGAATATACAAAGAGGAAATAATGTAGAACAAGAAACAACCAGTTATTGTATTACCATCTATATTGCATTAATTAAATGATCAATTATAGGGCTGGATTTTTCTTTTGTAAAAGTAGAGGTAAACAAAAACTAAAAATGAAACTAATGAATACTGTTGACAAAAACAAATATGGCTGATGTCAATATGGAAATATAGAAAATAATTGTAAAAAGAAGTAAGCTATGACAATATTAACCCAACTATTCACAGTACATGGTAGTAAAATATTTATATTAAGCTAGAAAACCACACGAAAATTGCAAACATGGGACACAATAATTATAAAAGGGTGTATGGTAAAATCCGACTTGATCTAGACAATCAGTCATCTTCCATTATTGATTCAGCAAAAATGCGCTCAATGCTCCACTAGAAAGGAGGGCGTCGTAGAAATATAGTAAAATAAAAAAAACTACGATAATTGAAAAAAAAAAATAACAAAGAGACAACTAAATAAGAGATTAAGGCAAACATCTTAGATTCAGCTAAAGAAGCTCTGGACAAAAGAAAAATAAATAAAAGCAAGTCTCTCCTAAAAGGAAAAACTTCGTGGTTCTGTACAGAGGTGAAAGAAAAAGCAAGGCAAAGAAAAAAGTTTACCTGAAATACATGTCAATCAATATACAGCAAGCATACAAAGATTATAAGAGAATAAGAAATGAAGCCCATGCACTTTATGGCGTTTTATAAGAGGCCAAAGAGCAGAGATGAAAGAATTAATAGAGCCAAAACACATCGAAAAAGATGTATGAATTGACTTTCTATAGAAATTATATACAGAGGAAAAATAAATGACGCTGTAACCACAAACACTAGGAAATACTATAAACGAAGAAGAAAAAATAGATTGCTAAAATATATAATCAGTAGAGAATGGTTCAAAAGCTGATGTAGCTTGGTGATAGAAATCATGCGTAAATATGTAAATAATGTGTATCAATGCAGACGGAAATGGTTTACCTCTACACAAATAAAATTATATCGGTAGATAAACTGTTGTGATACATGGAAGTTAAACAATATATACATACGTATTGGAGTAACAAAATAGTTCTGAATAAGAATGAACCGAAGAAAGTAATCAATATAATAAGTAAAGTTGTCTGATATTATTGGTAAGAACTATTGAAACTTCTAGGAACGATTATGCTCCCATATAAAGCAGCGGAAAAAACGCTAAGACTTGACAAATTCTTACAAATGAGCGTTGAAAAGTATCGTTTATGAAACACCAAAAAACAATAAGCACTATGTTGCACAACATCGATATTGTTTTATTTTTTTGTTTTATTAACACGTTATTATTATATATTATAATGACTAACATAGATAGTCAAAGAAAAAAGTCAAAAAAAATTAATTAAAATATTTACCTTTAACGGACTTTGCGCTAACTTCGGTTGTTGTTAAGACAACGACGGCTACTAAGGCCAAAAGAACGAAGGTAAGTTTTGCCATTTTGTTGTTTGATTATTAAATTTAAAATATAAGAAAAAAAATCATATATATACCATTTTATGGGCACTTAAAACTTATCTAAAATCGTTTGATATAAAATGGGGAAAATTTAATGTACTTGAAATATTTTTTATCATATTATTGACAATAATTCATATTTTTAAGTGGACCAGCGATTTGGAGCTTTGGCAAATTAAAATAATCTAAGAGGCAATATTCAACCTAACGGAAAGAAATATTACGATTATATATATATATATATATATATATATATATATATATATATATATATATATATATATATATATATATATATATATATGTATATATATATATGTATATATATATATATATATATATATATATATATATATATAAATTCAGAGATTCTACAGTATTCACTGCCTTCCCTCGCTCAACCGTTTTCATCTCTCTCTGTTGTCCCATTCTCCATCTTTTAGGCCTCTCTTACTCATGGCATTCCTATGGGGCTTCATTCGGTTATTCTCTTTATCCATCTGCTGTCGCTAGTTCTTCTTACATGTCCATACCACTTTAGTCTTTTTTGTTCTATATATGTTAGTATGTCTGTTTCTATTGATGTTCGTTGCTTTATTTCGTCATTACTTCTCCTATCCATTCTTGTTATTCTGCAGCATCTTAGCAGGCATTCCATCTCTGTTGCTACTATCTTACTGCTGTTTTTCTTATTTATAATCCAATTTTTAGCCCCATATGTCATAATATTTCGCACTAATGTTTTTTAAATCTGTGTTTTTGTCTTCATATTTAGGTGTCTATCCCACCATACTGAGTTATTTTTAAGTTGTCAGATTGCTGTTCTTGTTTGTCCTAATCTTTTTGACTGTTACGTTGTAATCAATCTGTAGATCTTATATGTCTTCTTCACTTGTAGATAGGTACTCTGTTTTCGCGAGGTTAATATCTAGGCCAGCCTTGGTATATTCTTCTTGTAGTTTCTTCATCATGTAGCTGAGGTCGTCTTGGTCTTGTGCAATCACTACTTGATCTTCTGCAAAGCTTAACATATATAGGTATTCGTTCCGTACTGGTACTCCTATGCCTTCGCATTTTCTTTTGCATGTAGTCAAGGCTTTCTCTATGTATATTTTGAAAAGGGTTGGAGATGTAGAACAACCACGCAGGAGCTCTTTTGTTGTGATAAAGTCTCCTATGATTCTTGTTCCCACTTTAATGGACACTATATTTTCTTTATACAGAGCTTTTGTAGCTTCTATGAGTTCCGTCTGTATTTTCAATTTGTACATTGCCTCCTATAGTTCTGACCTTGGTACAGAGCCATAGGCCCTTCTCAGGTCCACAAATGCCAAATGTATATCTCTATTTTTTGCTTTTTCTTTTCCAACAGTTGTTCCAGTGTGTATATGTGGTCTATGCATGATCTTCCTGCCGTGATGCCTGCCTGATCCTCCCTGATTTTGCCTTTTATCGCTTGCTCTATCTTTTCTCGCAGTATCTTCCCATATAATCTTCCTATTGATGATATAACGTTTATTCCTCTGTAGTTTTCGAATCGTTTTCTATCTCTTTTCTTAAATATAAATGTCTTATATGCCTCCGTCCATTTCTTTGGGAGCTGTTCTCCATTTATGGCTTTCTGAAATGTCCATTGTATCATCCGGTGTAATTTTTTGGTCCATATTTTGTAAGCTTAGGTGAGATGCCTCCAGGTCCCGGTGCTTTCTTAGTTTTGATTGCTTTTATGGCCGTTCTCATTTACCTATCTCTTATTTCTATTTCTTGTTGTGGGGATCTGCTTCGTCTTCTCCCGTTTTCTTTTTCAACGTATTGTGGTCTTTGTTCTGTTAACAGTTCCTTAAAATAGTTCTTCCATTCTTTGTCCTGTATATTTCCCAAATTAATTTTTTCTTTTGAGTTTTGTTTCAATCCTCTTAGTACTTTCCATGACTCCGAAGTTCTTGTACCTTTTATGTATGTTTCAATATTTAAGCAGGTTCTTTCCCATTCTTCATTTTTTTGTTGTGTTATATGTGTTTTCACTTCTCTATCTTTTTCTCTATATTCTTTATAAACTTCATCGTTGTTTGTAGTCAGAAATTTTCTGTATAGTGGCTTTTTTTCTTCAATTAATCTTGATGGATCATTTATTTCATAATAGTGCTGTTTATTTGTTCTATGTTCTTTTTCTCCAAGGGCTTCGAATACTGCTTGTTTTATACTTGCCTTTATATCCTCGTATATTTCTTCAATGTTGCTGTATCTAAATTCTAATAATTTTTGGTCTAGACGTTGTTGGTATAGTTCTCTTATTGATTGTTCTTGGAGAAGTTCTATATTGTATTGTTTTTCTCTTATAGTGTTCAATAGTTCTTTTATAGAGGGCGTCTTGTTATGTTTCCAATTAACGCCCATTTCTGCTGTCAGTAGTTTATATTCCGTTCCACATTCTGCTCCTCTTCTGACGCACATCTTTGATCATTATTGTGGTATCTTGTTTAATTATTATGTAGTCTATTATCGATTTTAGTTTTTGAGTTTCTTGCGTCCAAGTATATTTATGAATATTTTATGTCTGAAGAATCTCCGTTGGTAATTTTTAGGTTGTTTAGTTCGCATAATTCAATCAGACGTTCTCCGTTATCGTTGTGTTCACCCTCTTCAAATCTACCCACTACTTTATCGTTTTCTTTCCTTCCGGTTCTGCCAATAATGTCTTCTGATATAATAATATCCACGTTCTTCTTAATGTTGATCTTGATGTTGAAGTTGTTCCGTGAAATGTTCTTTTTCTACTCTCGGGGAATCGTCTGTTGGTGCATATACTCCGGGTATCACTGTCTCTTTACCGTATATGTCAATATGTATTTTAATTATTCTTTCATCAGAAACAGATCATGTCATACATATACATTTCAATTCCAACCATCCTATTTCTCATAAATTATCTGCATTCAACAGTTTTATTCATCGTTTAGAAACCACCCCATTATCCAAAAATAACTACAACCAAGAACTAAACATTATCAAACAGATTGCTTTCAACAATGGCTACAACCCTGATATAATCCACAAACTCATTTATAAAAAGAAACGTAAATTGCTTCAACAATCAGCTTACCCTAACATTACTTTAGATTCCCCATCTTATTTCTCATTACCATTTCACTGTCCAACACTATCTGAATCAATAAAAAACACTATCCTGAATTCTGTTGAAAATATTAAGATTTCCTTTAAAGTCAACAATAAATTGAGTAGATCATTATGCAATAGTAAGGACCCTATTGACTTCACTAAACGCAGTGGAGTTTATAAACTTCAGTGTTCTGACTGTGATGCCACTTACATCGGTAGAACTTGTAGATCTCTAGTAACCAGGGCCATTGAACATTCTAAGTTAGAGAACACTTCTTCTTTTTCACATCACCTTAAATATCACAATCACACAATCAAGGTACCAGATGATATCTCTCTTCTTCATAACATCCCTAGTAGAGATTATCTCAAACTCGACCTTTTTGAGGATTTGGAAATAGTCAAGGAAAAGAAAAATAGTCCCAATTGTGTTAATCGTCACACCAGCATCAACAGAGACTTCGTCCCACTTCATCGACAATTATTCTCCTAAACTAACTTTCTCTCTTTTAACTACCCATCCAATTTTACTTCACTTCTACATTTCTTTTTATTTCCCATAGCTAAATTTCTACTTACATAATCATTCATACTCTATACTTGTCACCATTAATACACTAACATCACCCCTTTGCCAATATCCAACTACCCATCCTCTCCAATAACTACCATCACTTATCATACACATTTTTTATAATTATTCATTTTACATCTATTATTCTCTTATCACAATTAGTTTTAATATCACCAGTTTACATCACCATATTCACCTTCTATTTCCTTTTCCTGCTTTCTCGTTAATTTCTTTTTTCTTTTTCTTTCCTCTACTCATCTTCCATAAATTACAATCCTACTTTTATATATATTCATTTAATCATACACATACAATCATACACATTTTCTTATAAATATTCATTTTACATCTATCTACCCCTATCACAATCAGTTTCAATTTCCCCAGCTTACATCATCACATTCACTTTCTATTCCCTTTCTTACCTTCTCGTTTATTTCTTTTTCTTTTCCTCGACTCATCTTCCATAAATTACAATCCATCTTTTATATATAGGTTATTTAATACAACGATACAATTAGGTAATAACATCCTTTTCATCCCATTTAAAATGATTTATTAATTTTAACCACTTAAATTACATAAAATTTTTACCTACCTTGGTATACCGATTTATTTTGCATCACAGTCACGCATTGATTTATATTCTCCCATCAGTTTTTTAAAATACCAAAAATTGCTTATGATCCTACTACACACAAAACACATTTCTTCACTAAAAACTGCCTACTCACAAACTTAAGCACAATGACTTTGCTCCTACCACATCATTCCTCTTGACATTGACGGGTACTAACTGATTTTTCATACCATCTTTCTATCAGTTAGCCCTAGACTCCAACACGGATCAGAGGTAATGTAAGTCAATAAAACTTCACCAACTACAGGGGGTCATATAAGATGCCCCCAGTTTCATTTTTTATATTACACAAGTCAAGAGTCTATTGCATTTACCTGAATAAATAACACGAAGAATATTATTTTTTTAAATCCAGATGTCCACCGAACGTTTTTTATGTGGCCACACAATGTTTTTTAACAACCTTTTTTATGTAAGTAGTAAAAAACCAACTTTCTCTTTTTGTATGTTCAAATTTTAACTTTGTTGTTTTTAATATTGGTATTTTTACTCTCTCTTTTAGTAAACTGATGATGGAATGATACAATTCCGAAAAGATCTTCTTTATAATAAAAAATTTTAAGCTTTTAATAAGCGTTTTTATACCTTAATACACACGAACACCACGTGCTTTGAATTATTCTTTCGTTGATTGGCTCCCATGTTCTAACCC